GCTAGTTTTTTGCTTGTTTTTAGTTTTTTTTGAGTCAGAATCTTGCTGTGTTGCCCAGGCTGGAGTGAAGTGGTGCAATCTCAGCTCACTGCAACCTCCACCTGCCGGACTTAAGCGATTCTCATACCTCAGCCCACAAACAGCACAGGTGCATACCACCAGCCTGGCTAATTTTTGTATTTTTAGTAGCAATGGGGTTTTGCTATGTTGCCCTGGCTGGTATCAAACTCCTGGCCTCAAGTGATTTACCCACCTCAGCCTCCCAAAGTGCTGGGATTATAGGCATGAGCCACCATGCTGGGCCACTTCATTCCTTTTTATGGCTAATACTTCATTGTATTAACCATAAACCAGACCAGTTTTTTTTATCCCTTTATCCTTTGAGGACATTTGGGTCATTTGTGAATGAGGCGGGCGTGAACTTGTGTGTGTAAGTATCTGAGTCCCTACTTTCGGTTCTGTTGGGTCTGTGCCTTGGTGTAGAATTGCTGGGTCACGGGGACTCTGTTTCAGTTTTTGAGGAACTGCCACGCTCTCCAATACCACTGTATTTACAAAAACAGGAGGTGGGCTGTGGTTTGCTGACCCTGGAGACATTCAGATTATCACAAAGACCAGGATCAGTCCTGGAATTTAGTAGTCTGGAGCCTGGGGCCCTAATGCCCCAAATGCCAACAGAATAGAGTTGCACTGGGCTTGGAGGGGCCTCTGGTTGGGTGTTTGGAGAGAGCCAGGTCCTTCTGGGAGCCAGCCTGCCTCTTCCAGCCTCAGCAGGTGTAGTGGCCAGCTTGGGGCCACCCTAGCCAGGCACCACAGACTACTGGCTTTAACAACAGAAGTTTATTTTCTCACAGTTCTGGAGGCTGGGAGTCTGAGAGCAAGGTGTGGGCAGGGCTACTTTCTCCTGAGCCCCTTTCCTTGGCTTGTGGAAGGCGCCTTCTGTGTCCTCCCTCCATGGCCGTCCCTCTGTGGGCGTCTGTGTCCTCATCTCCTCTTATCAGGACACCACTCAGATTGCACGAGGCCCCACCCTGAGGGCTTCATTTTACCTTAATTGTCTCTTTAAAGATCCCATCTCCAAAAACAGTCACATTCCAAAGTACTGGGGGTCAGAACATCCACCCATGCATTTTGAGGGGCCTGGTTCAGTTCCTAACATCTGGCCTCTTTCTGCTCCCCTCTCTGTGGCACAGACTTCTGCCAGCTGTCGGGCATGCACCTGCTGGTGGGCCGGTATCTGGAGGCAGGGGCCGCAGGACTGCGGTGGCGGGCGGCACAGCTCATCGGCACGTGCAGCCAGAACGTGGCCGCCATCCAGGAGCAGGTGCTGGGCCTGGGTGCCCTGCGCAAGCTGCTGCGGCTGCTGGACCGTGACGCCTGTGACACGGTGCGCGTCAAGGCCCTCTTCGCCATCTCCTGTGAGTGTACGGGTGGGACTAGGGGCAGGGGTGCTGGGGGGTGCCAGGTGGGCCCCCTGGATCTACTGGGTTAGAGGGACAGGCATCTCCTTCACTTGTTTATTCCTGTGCTTGTTGGGCCTCTGTGCAGCTGAGTGCTGTGGGCAGAGTAAGTGGTGCACTCGGCCAAACCCCCTGCTAGCCAGGTAGCAAACAGGACCATCTCAAAGTCCTCGGTGTGAGCACTTGGCACACAGCAGTGTTTCAGCCAGGCACTGTTCACATTGGGGTTGGTCCACTCTCTTGGGGGCCATTCTGTGTACTACAGGACGTTGAGGCCGGGCGCAGTGGCTCACGCCTGTAATCTCAGCACTTTGGGAGGATGAGGTGGGCGGATCACCTGAGGTCAGGCGTTCAAGACCAGCCTGGCCAATTTCATGAAACCCAATCTCTACTAAAAATATAAAAAGCAGCTGGGTTTAGTGGTGGGCGCCTGTAATCCTAGCTACTCTGGAGGCTGAGGCATGAGAATTGCTTGAACCCAGGAGGCGGAGGTTCCAGTGAGCTAAGATTGCACCACTGTACTCCAGCCTGGGTGATAAGAGCGAAACTCCGTCTCAAAACAAAAAGTAAAGGACATTGAGCAGCATCTAGTGGGTTGTCTCCATGCAATGGAGAGACACTGTCACCCCACCTGCCACAGCACAAGTGCCCGAAGACGTCACAGAAAGCCCTTTGGTCAAGAACCCCTGCTGTATGTGAACTGTATTTTTGTTGCCCAGGCTAGTCTTGAACTCTTGGTCCCAAGGGATCCTCCTGCCTTGGCCCCTGAAAGTGTTGAGATTACAGGTGTGCTCCAACATGTCCAGCCACAAATTCTTTTTATCCTGATGGCCTGTGAAGTAGGGACCATTTGCATCCTCATTTGACAGGCGAAGAAACTGAGGCATGGGCAGAGGGACTTGGCCAGGGTTGTGCAGCTCCAATGGGGCAGAGCTGGCCAGGACTCCCTAGACACTGCCTCCTGGGACACAAGGGCTAGGTCGGGGTGGGGGATGGGACAAAACCGACATCTGTGGGACAGCTTCTCCATGCCAGGTGTTGACTTGCTGAATCCTTCTGCGCACCTGCCGAAGTTGGGCTGACTTTGTCTCCTCCACATAGGAGGGGGCAGGCCAGGGGGCCAGAGAGGACACACAGAGCCAGGGTCCGAGCCCAGCGGGGCTCCTCGTGTGTGCTAGATGCCTACCTGCTTGCCTGTGCTACACTGGCACCTCCATTGGACTGTTTCCTTTTTTTTTCCCTAACAGCTTTATTGAGATGTAATTCATAGGCCATACAATTCATCCTTTAAAAGTGTATAACTTAGTACTTTTGGTCAGGCATGGTGGCTCACCCTTGGAATCCTAACACTTTGGGAGGCCAAGGCAGGAGAACTTCTAGAGCCCAGGAGTAAGTTTGAGACCAGTCTGGGCAACACAGGGAGACCCCCGTCTCTAGAAAAATTAAAAAATTAGCTGGGTATGGTGGTGTGTGATTGTAGCTCCAGCTACCCAGGAGACTGAGGTGGGAGAATTGCTTGAGCCTGGGAAGTTGAGGCTGCAGTGAGCCATGATCGAATCTCTAGCCTGGGTGACAGAGCAAGACCTGTCTGAAAACAAACCAAAAAAACACTTAGTATTTCTTAGTACCTTCACAGTGTTGCCCAGCCATTATCACTATCTAATTTTAGTTGAGATCAGGTGTGTTCGGGGTGGTATGGCTGTCGACAGTCACTGTCTAATTTCAGAACATTTTCTTTTTTTTTTTTTTTTGAGACAGAGTCTCGCTCTTGTCACCCAGGCTGGAGTGCAGTGGCGCAATCTCGGCTCACTGCAACCTCCGCCTCCCAGGTTCAAGCAGTTCTCCTGCCTCAGCTTCCCAAGTAGCTGGGATTACACGTGCCTGCCACCACGTACGGCTAATTTTTGTATTTTTAGTAGAGATGGGGTTTTACCATGTTGGCCAGGCGGGTCTCAAACTCCTGACATCAGGTGATCCACCCTCCTCAGCCTCCCAAAATGCTGGGATTACAGGCGTGAGCCACCGCACCTGGCCAATTTCAGAACATTTTCTCCTCCTCTACAAGTAGAAACCCTGTACCTCTCAAGCAGTCAGTCTGCAACTGCCTCGTCCCCGAGCCTCTGTAACGTGAATCTGCTTACCGTCTAAGATTTCCCTCTGCAGGACATTTGTACAAATGGAACCCCACACTGTGTGGCCTTTTGTGCCTCACCCCTTTCGTGCGGTGTAAGGTCCCCGCGTAGTGGTGGGTGTCGGTGCTTTGCTCCTGTTTGCGGCTGAATGCGTCTGTTGTGTGGATCCACCATGCCCTGCCTGTCCCTGCACCTGTCTGCTGACAGACACCGCTTTCCTTCTGCCTCTGGGCTCTCTCTCTTCTATCTCTATAAACATGGCTGCACAGGTCTTTTTGTGGACATTTCTTTTCCGTTCTCTTGGGTGTATACCTACCGGTGGAGTTGCTGGGTCATATGGTAACTCTGCGTTCAATCTGTTCGAGGTTGCTTATTTTTTTTTTTTTTTTTAGACAGAGTTTCACTCTTGTTGCCGAGGCTAGAGTACAATGGCATGATCTCCGCTCACCATAACCTCTGCCTCCCGGGTTCAAGCGATTCTCCTACCTCAGCTTCCCGAGTAGCTAGGATTACTGGCATGCACCACCATGCCTGGCTAATTTTTTATATTTTTAGTAGAGACAGGGTTTCTCTGTGTTGGTCAGGCTGGTCTCTAACTCCTGACTTCTGGTGATCTGCCGGCCTTGGCCTTCCAAAGTGCTGGGATTACAGGCATGAGCCACTGCACCCGGCCTTGAGGTTGGCAATTTTTAAACTCCAGCAGTCTGTGGTCGTTGAAATGGGGACTGCAAGTGGGTCCGGCACCTCCTTTCTCTCCCTTACCCCATGTATCCTGAGCCCTGGAATTGGAGTGTTATGTTCCCGGCAGATGGTGGCCCCAGCCATGCAGAGGCTGGGAGGAGAACAGGGAGGGTTTGGGTAGGAGGAGATTCCGGAAGAAGGAAGCATTCTGATGAGGCGAGGAAAGGAGCCTTGGAGAGGGTGGCACTTGGAAAGTCACAGCCAAAACGAGGGAGACAGAGGGACAGACAGACATAGGGTAGCTTGGCCACAAAGCGCAGAGAGAAGGCATGGTGTCCCTAAGGGCCAGAACAGGGTGTGGAGGGGCTGGCAGAGTTTTCTTCTAATAGCTTACATTAATAAAGAAGTTTTGCCTGGCGAGGTGGCTCATGCCTATAATCCCAGCACTTTTCGAGGCCAAGGTGGGCAGATCATGAGGTCAGGAGTTCAAGACCAGCCTGAATAGGTGAAACCCCACCTCTACTAAAAATACAAAAATCAGCCGGGCATGGTGGCACATGCCTGTAGTTGAGCTACTTGGGAGGCTGAGACAGGAAAATCGCTTGAATCCGGGAGCCGGAGGTTGCAGTGAGCTGAGATTGCACCACTGTGCTCCAGCCTGAGCGACAGAGCTAGACTTTGTCTCAAAAAAATAAATAAATAAAAATTAAATAAATTTAAAAATAAATAAAAAAGAAGTCTTTAGGCCATCTTGGTGGCTCATTCCTGGTCCCAGCTACCCAGGAGGCTGAGGAGGGAGGATTATCTGAGCCCGGGAGGTGGAAGCTGAAGTCAGCTGAGATCGTGCCACTGTGCTCTCAGCCTAGGTTACAGAGTGAGACTCTGTCTCAAAAAAAATGTCTTTACATATTTTTAAAAATCTGTGAGACAAGGAGGCTGAGGCAGGAGAATTGCCTGAACCCAGGAGGCGGAGGTTGCGGTGAGCCGAGATCGCGCCATTGCACTCCAGCCTGGGTAACATGAGTGAAACTCCATCTCAAAAAAAAAAAAAAAAAAAATCTGTGAGACAATCACATCGTTTAATAGGTACAAAAGAGTACATAGCAAAAGGTCCTTGTCCCCAAACCTGGTCCCCATTCCAGGGAAAACCACCGTTATACCAGTTTCTGCTTCCAGAGATTTTAATCTATAAGGACAAATGTGGGTGTGTGTGGTGTTGCAAGTGTGTGTGTGGTGTGGGTGTGGTGTGGGTATGTGGTGCATGTGTAGGGTGTGTATGTGGGGTGTATGGTGTGTCGTATATGTGGAGTGTGTACCTGGGGTGTGTGGTACATAGGTGGAGGTGTGTGTGGTATGGGGATTGTGTTGTATATGTGTGGTGTGTGTGTTGCATGTGTATGTGTGTGGGATGTGTGTGCTGGGAGGCGTATGTATGTGTGTGTGGGGTGTGCAGTGTGTGTATGTGTGGTGCATATGTGTAGTGCGTGGATGTGCGTGGGGTGTGTGGGATGTGTGTTCGTGGTGTGCGTACGTGGGGTGTGCGGGTGTGGGGTATATGGTGTGTGGTATGTGTACACATAGACACACACAGATGCTTCTCTTTTTCTCGTATGTGCATGGCTGGGGCAGCCCATCCTGACTGTTGCGCACCTTGACCTGCCTGTGTCCTGTTAGGCAGCGGTAGTCATCATCTTTCCCCTTGTTGTGGGTCAGCAATGCAGGAGGCCCCCCCCACCCCCGCCAGGAGGGCCACTTCTGGCTTTGTGTCTTTATGTGGCTGTGGTCAGCTGTCAGCCGGCCACTTTCCCTGAAGGTGTGATTGCACTGAGCCCTGTGCACTGCACCTTGTTAATGCCTCACAATCCCCCTCTGAGGGAGGGGTGCTAGAGACGGGCTTCTACTGTGGCTCCTGTGGCTCCTGTGGGGCTGGCTGAGCTTTGCTGGCTGTTGGCCAGAAGCTCGGGCTGCTTGAGCGGCCTCACAACATGGTGGTCGGCTTCCCCAGCAAAAGCTGTCCACGATGCAGGGCAAGAGCTCTGGGAGCTCGGATGCCTGTTTTTTTGCTTGGGAGTAAAATTCACATGAAAATGTTAAAGTATACCATTCAATGGCATCTGTCCTTTTTTTTGGTGGCTGTAGGGTATGCCATTGTGTGGCTGTCCAATGCAATTAGGTGAGTTCCGTGCTGGCAGCCATTTGCAGGGTATGCTCCTGCGGCCTGAGGCAGTGATGTCCCTGCATTCCCTGCCCTTCCCAGGAGCGGATGGATGCGCTAACCCTCTGTTGAGCCACTCCAGAGTGGTTCCTTGTTACTGCATCCCCCACTGTCCACCAGAGTGGCATGTTTATTACAATCGATGAACCTGCACGGGCACGTCATTGTCACCCAGAGTCCATAGGTGACACTGGGGCTCACTCTTGGTGCTGTGCATGCTGTGGGCTTGGATAGCTGCATGGTGACATGGATCCACCACTGTGGTATTACAGAGTCATTTCACTGCCCTACAAATCCTCTGTGCTCCAGCTAGTCATCCCACCCTGATCTTTTTACTGTCTCCATAGTTTTGCCTTTTCCAGAATTTCATATACTTGGAACCATGCAATCTGCAGCCTTTTCAGACTGGCTTCTTTGGCTTAGTAATATGCTTTTAGTGTTCCTCCATGTCTTTTCTTGGCTTGATAGCTCATTTCTTTTTAGCGCTGAATAAGCGTAACTTTTTTAAGGGAGATGTGTGGGCTGCAGTGATGACTTTGGCTTTCGCTCCAAAAATGACGGCAGCCATGCTGTGATCCCTGCCCCCAACTGCTACACTGAGAAGAGGGTGAATGCAGCGAGGGTGGGTGGAAGGTGGGCGGTGAGCTGGGGGTTATGGTGATAACCTAGGCAAGAGATCAAGGTTGTGGTAGGGAGCAGTGGTTCTCAAACAGGGGCACTCGTGTTCTCCACAAGACATTTAGACACGTGTCTGGAGACATTTTTAGTTGTCACAGCTGGGAGGGAGGGACTATTGGCATCCACTGGGTAGAGTCCAGGCATGCTGTTCCACCTCCTGCAACACACAGGATAGGCCTCCCAACCCAGAGTGATCTGGCCCCAGATACCAACCAGGTGGAGAAACCTTGGCGTAAAGGGGACAGGTCTCTCCGGGTACGTTTTGAAGGTAGAACTGACAAGCTGTACTGACAGATTGAATGAGGCGACTCTTGGTGTTTCTACTACTGGCATGCCTGTTCTTTTTTCTTTAATTAAATAACATTTGGCCGGACGCAGCGACTCACACCTGTAATCTCAGCATTTTGGGAGGCCAAGATGGGCAGATCCCTTGAGGCCAGGAGTTCAAGACCAGCCTGGCCAAATGGGAAACCCCGTCTCTATTAAAAATATTTTTAAAATTAGCCAGGTATGGTGGGGCACACCCGTCATCCCAGCTACTTAGGAGACTGAGGCACAAAAATTGCTTGAACCTGGGAGGCAGATATTGCAGTGAGCCAAGTGCTGCTGCACTCCAGCCTGGGCGACAGAGCGACACTCTGCCTCAAAAAATAAATAAATAACATTTGGTTTAACCCAACATGTCCAAACTATTGTAATTTCAACATGTAATTAACATGAAATATTAATGAGATACTTTATATTTTTGTCATGCTAAGTCTTCAAAACCTAGTGTGTGCATTTTACAAATGAAGCACATCACAACTCAGATGCTGAGTTTTCAGTGGGTGTGGAGTATACCAGAACAACAACGCTGTGCTTTTTTTTTAAGATGGAGTTTTGCTCCTTTTGCTCAGGCTGGAGTGCAATGGCATGATCTCGGCTCACTGCAACCTCTGCGTTCTGGGTTCAGGTGATTTTCCTGCCTCTGCCTCCCGAGTAGCTGGTATATGGGTGCCCACCACCATGCTCGCCTAATTTTTTATTTTTAGTAGGGATGATAATTAATTTTTAATTTTAAAAATTAAAAATTTTTAAATTTTTTATTTTTCAGTTAGACAGCCTCACCGTTGGTCAGGCTGGTCTTGAACTCCTGACCTCAAGTGATCTACCCACTTTGGCCTCCCAAAGTGCTGGGAATATAGGCATGAGCCACCAGCCCAGGCAATGTTGTGTTTAATGGAAGATAGTTTACACTGCTTCAGTTTTTCACATTAAGTTTAAATGAATTGAACTTAAATGAAATGAATAACTCCTTTCCTCAGTCTCACTGGCCACATATCAGGTGTTCAGTGGCCAAAAGCTGCTAGTGGCTTCTGTTCTTGAGTAGCGCAGGCCTAGAGCCTACCCAGGAGTGGGCACATTACTGGAGGTGCACCCCAAAGGTCAGCTCTCATCCTGCTGGGAGGCCTTCCAGAGTTCTCATTGCCCTCTGGGTGAAGGTGATGCATGCATGGCTCTCTGGGCCTCCTCATCTGTAAAATGGAATTCTGAAAGCACATACCTCCAGGATAATTGTGAGGATTGAAAAGAGATGATGCCGGCCGGGCGTGGTGGCTCATGTCTGTAATCCCAGCACTTTGGGTGGCCAAGGTGGGTGGATCACGAGGTCTGGAGTTCAAGATCATCCTGGCCAAAATGGTGAAACCTCATCTCTACTCAAAATATGAAAATTAGCTGGATGTAGTGGTGCATGCCTGTAATCCCAGCTACTTAGGAGGCTGAGGCAGGAGAATGGCTTGAACCTGGGAAGCAAAGGTTGCAGTGAGCCAAGATGATGCCATTGCACTCCAGCCTGGGCAACAGAGTGAGACTCCGTCTGGTGGAGGGAAGTGTCCAGGCGTGGTGGCTCATTGTAATCCCAGCACTTTGGGAGGTTGAGGTGGGTGGATCACGAGGT